TTAGAAGAGACTGTGCCTCTTTTTTAAAATCTTTCATTGTGCCTGGCCATTGTGGCTCAGTTGTCGAGCATCAACCCATGAACGAAGATTCCCAGTTTGATTCCCGGTCAGGGCACATGCCCAGGTTGCGGGCCCAACCCCAGTGGGAGGCATGCAGAAGGTGGCCAACCAATGTTTCTATCTCTCTCCCTCTCCCTTCCTCTCTCTAAAATCAATAAAGAAAAAAAATTTTTTAAATAAAACTTTCCTTGTCTCTACATCCCATCAAATAAAGCTGAAAAAAAATACGTCCTCCAGGTCTGCTCTGTTTGTTAGAGCATCATCCAGATACACCAAGGTTATGGGTTGTAGGTTCATATAAGAATCAACCAATGAATGCATAAATAACAACAGATCAACATTTCCTTCTCTCCCTCCCCCCATCCCCTTTCTCTAAAATCAATTAAAAAGTGGGACTTTTTTTTTTTTTTTTATCCTCACCGAGGACATTTTCTCAAGGACATTTTCTCATTTTTTTGTTCAGGTAGAGTGGGAGGGAGAGAGAGGAACAGAGAGAGAGAGAGAAACATCGATGTGAAAGGATCACATCGAGTGGCTGCCACCGCACGACCGACCAGGGCCGGGGACAAACTGCAACCGAGGTACGCGCCCCCTTAGCGGGAACCGAACCTGGGTCTCTCAGGACCGCAGGTCGACGCTCTAACCGCTGAGCCAAACCGGCCAGGGCAAAAAAAGTGGGACATGTGTAATACATTCAATAAAGACAAGTTTTAAAAAATAAATATAAATAAAATAAATTAAAAAGAAAGATTCTTTTTTGAAGATCAAAAAAGTTACACCCTTGCCCTGGCCGGTTTGGCTCAGCGGTTAGAGCGTCGGCCTGCGGTCCGGAGAGACCCGGGTTCGGTTCCCGCTAAGGGCACGTACTTCGGTTGCAGTTTGTCCCCGGCCCTGGTTGGTCGTGCGGTGGCAGCCACTCGATGTGTCCCTTCACGTCGATGTTTCTCTCTCTCTGTCTCTTCCTCTCTCTCCCTCCCACTCTATCTGTACAAAGAATGGAAAAATGTCCTCGGGTGAGGATAAAAAAAAAAAAAAAAAAAAAAAGTTACACCCTTGCCCAGCTGGTGTGGCTCAGTGGTTGAGCATCGACCCATGCACCAAGAGGTCACCAGTTTGATTCCCAGTCAGGGCACAGGCCCAGGTTGTGGGCCCAATCCCCAGTGGGGGCATACAAAAGGCGGCTGGGCAATGTTCTAGCTCATTGATGTTTCTATCTCTCTCTCCCTTCCCCTTCCTTTCTCTCTAAAATCAATTAAAAAAAAAAAAAAATTAGGGACTTCCGGTCAAGATGGTGGCATAGGTAAATGCCATATCGCATCCTCCTACAACCACATCAAAGTTACAACTAAACTACAAAACAACTATCATTCAAAACCGCCTGAAATCGCGCTGAATGGAAGTCCTACAACTACGGAATTAAAGCAGCAGCCACATCAAGGCTGATAGGAGGGGTGGAGGAGGACGGGCTGGTCCCACACCCACGTGTGGCAGATAAAAATCAGGAGGACACCTTCGGCTAGGAAGGTCTTCCCTGAGGACTGAAGGGTCCAGGTTCCACACCAGGCCCCAGCTCAGGGTTCCAGTGCCCAGAATAGAAGTCCCCATAACTTCTGGCTGGAAAACCAGCAGGAACTGAGGCTCAGGGAAGCTGAGGCGGCTGGAGCCCCAGGCAGCAATTCTTAAAGGTCCCGTGCACAGACTTATCGAACTCACTCCCTTTCAGCTTGGAGGGGAGGCAGTTTGAGGGGCGCCAGAGACATACAGGGAAGAACTGAGCTGTTTGGCATTGGAGCGAGGGTTGGAGAGGGGGCTTTCTCCTGGACAGATGTACAGTCAGAGGCCTTTGTTCCTTTGGTGAGCCCTTCCTTAGGGTGGCAGACAACAGCCATATCTGGGACTCCAGCAACCTGGCTCACACTGGCTGCCCCGCCCTGGTGATTCCCTGAGGCCCCGCCCCACCCAACTTTCAGGACCACCCAAGCTGTTGCCATTTGCTTAACCATAGAAATGGCCTGTCTGGGTTCCTGCTTCAGGTTTTCCTAAATTCTTTCAAACGAGCAGCATCTGGTTTCAGCTAGCCTCATACCTCTTGTTAAGTAATACACAGAAACAAGCACAGGGAGGCAGTCCAAATGAAGAGACAAAGAAACAGGTCCCAAATGAAAGAACAGAACAAAACTCCAGGAAAAGAACTAAGCGAAATGGAGATAAGCAACCTAACAGATGCTGAGTTCAAAATACTGCTTATAAGGATGCTCAATGAACTTAGTGAGAACCTCAGCGAACTTAGTGAGGGCCTCAAGAGCATAAAAAAGGACCAGTCAGAAATGAGGGAGGCACTAACTGAAATAAAGAATAATTTACAGAGAATCAAGAGTAGAGTAGGTAAATCCAAGAAGCAAACCATCGATTTGGAATATAAGAAAGCAAAAAACACCCAATCAGAACAGCAAAAAAAAAAAAAGAATCCAAAAAAATGAGGATAGTGTAAGGAGCCTCTGGGACAACTTCCAGTGTGCCATCTTGAGGTACCAGAAGGAGAAGAGAGAGAACAAGAAATCAAAATCCTTTGAAACAATAATGGCAGAAAAACTTCCCTAACTTAGTGAAGGAAACAGACATACAAGTCCAGGAAGCACAGAAGAGTTCCAAACAAGATGAACCCCAAGAGGCCCACACCAAGACACATCATCATCAAAATGCAAAAGGTTCAGGACAAAGAGAGAATCTTAAAAGCAGCAAGAGAAAAGCAGTTAGTTACCTACAAGGGAGTTCCCATAAGACTGTCAACTGATTTCTCAAAAAAACTTTGCAGGCCAGAAGGGAGTGGCAAGAAATATTCAGAGTGATGAAACACAAGAACCTACAACCAAGATTACTCTATCCTGCAAAGCTGTCATTTAGAATCGATGGCCATATAAAGAGTTTCCCAGTCAAGGAAAAGCTAAAGGAGTTCATCACCACCAAGCCATTATTATATGAAATGTTGAAGGGTCTTCCTGAAGAAAAAGATAAAAAATATGAACAAACAAAATGGCAATGAATATGTATCTATTGACCATTGAATCTACAAAGAAAATGAACAAGCCGAACAGAAACATTCTCATAGATATAGAGAACGTTCTGTTCATTGTCAGATGGGAGAGGGGTTGGGGGAATGGGTATAAAAGGTGAAGAGATTAAGAAGTACAAATTCATTGCTAGACTGACAAACCTCAAAGCGAAAGGGGTTGGGGGGTGGAAAGAAATAAACCAAAGAACTTATATGCAATATGAATAACCAATGGACACAGACAACAGTGGGGGGAAAGGCAGGATGGGGACGGTAGTGGGGAGGAGAGGGTCAATGGGGGAAAAATGAGGAACATCTGTAATACAGTCAACAATAAAGATAAAAAAAATTTTTTTAAATAATAAATAAAATTAAAAAAAAAAATTACACCCCTTTTTTTGTTATTAATCCTCACCTGAGGCTATTTTTTCAGTTGAGTTTTAGAAAGAGTGGGACGGTGGTGGGCAGGGGTGTGATCAATTGGTTGTGTTCTGCATGCGAATGAGCTGGACCAGGGTCTATGGAACCTGCAACCCAGGTACATGCCCTTGACCTAGAATCAAACCCATGATCCCCCTCCAGTGTATGGGCTGACCACTGGCCATGGCTCCTTTTTATGACAGCTGTCTTATTTACCTTAATATCTTGACCATGCCCTCAAAGAGAATAAAGGAATAAAAACAGGCAACAAATGGTAACTGAGGCAAATAATGTTGGCATTTTACCACTCCCATTCACAACGTCTTCATCCTATTGATATCCACCTTTCCTACTTCCTAATCTTTCTCTGACCCTGAATCTACTGTGACATCTTTGGAAGAGCCTCACTTTAACTGTCAGTGTTTACTAATAAATTAAAACTTAACTTCCTTTGCTTGGTGACTCATCAACCCCAAATCATAACATGCTACAAAAAGGAAAAAAAAAAAAAGAAGAGTAGATGTATGCTCACTGATCAAATTTTTAAATTTTTAAGATTGGTTTCATCCTCCATTTGTTAATTCCCATTATGGTAACATTAGAACAATAGCTATAATTCTGCTGCAGTGCATTTCACACTCAAAACAAAATATATCATCAGAATATTACTCTGAATTTCACAATCCTAGATAGGCTACTCAGTCATTTGCCCAAACAAAAATAAAAGTTTCCATTTTTACTATCATGTAGACAAGCTGAAATGTTTTTTCTACCTTCTGTCAAATTCTCTCGTCAACACTAAAAGGAACTATAACATTACAGATGGTAATGCTTTTATATGATTAATGAAGATTAAATCTATTCCTCCCTAATAGATCCAGAAGTTCAACTGGAAAAATGCTTTTGGCCATAAATAATAAACCTATCTCCCTCATTCTTACAGGAGATGTTTACAAAAGTGTTCAGAAAGAAAGTAGCCAGCTAAGTAAAAAAAAAAAAGATCTTTATGTTGCTTTGTCAAAGGGACTGGATGTCTGAAAATATTGAGCATTCAAAGTTAAATTATACCTTTGCACATGTAGCAAAAAAAATATGACTCACTAAATTCTTGTGTCTTTTTTATTCACTAAACAGAACTTGGCATAATTATCAGTACAATTTCCTTATGTCCTACTGTCATTATATTGTAACCATGATTAGCCAATTTAACCTTTAAACCAATAGGCAAGGTTAATAAGCCCAAATACAACTTTATATTTTATCTGCTCAAAGTATCCATGAACATACACTTAGGTTGTTCAATTTCTTTTTCAGATTTAATAAAATTGGTTTAAAACTATAAGTCAATGTTTGGCCCAAATTCAGTATTTGAACAAAAGACTAAAAACCCTTCAAACTGAAACATGAATATGTAGCACCCTAAGCTACTCAGTAAAGTATTTTAATGTTTTTGATAAACAGTCCTTACCACTCTGGCTGCTCTCTCCTGAGATTCACATTTCCTGCAAAACCATGGTCCAGTGGGTACTTGAACAATGCCATAGCAAGCTGTTGGGAAATAAAATATTTTAAATTATGTTAAGATTAAAGAATTATGGAAAATCAAATACCCTTCCAAAGCCCTATTAAACTAATTACTTCTCAAACTACTCATGTAAACCTCCTGCTTTGTAGAGAATTAAAACATTTTATATTTGTACTTAACACGTATACTGCACTACTGAAATTGTATGACATAATAAAGACGTTAAAATGCCAATCTTGTTATTTCATTTAAGCATAAACATTGGAATTTTAATTACTTATCCCTTTATGATGGGAAGAATATTAAGAAAAATTTAATACATGATTAGATTTTTTATATAGACTAAGTCAGAAATTCATTCATTCATTCCTATAATCTGCAGTTTAAATAGCAAGCATTTTAGCCTGACCAGTGTGGATCAGTAGTTAAGCATTCACCCATGCACCAAGATGTCGCCGGTTTGATTCCTGGTCAGGGCATGTGCCCAGGTTGTGGGCCAAATCCCCAGTGGGGGGGCATGCAGGAGGCAGCCGGTCAATGTTCTTGCTTATCAATGTTTCCGACTCTCTCTCCCTCTCCCTCTCCCTCACTCTCTTTCTCTCTAAAAATCAATAAAGAAAAAAAATTTTTTTTAAATAAATAGCAAGCATTTTAGAAAAGCCTAATAAAAATAATCCAAATCACCTTTCAAAATGAGCAACAGGTATTACAGAAAAGAAAATGAACTATAAAAACGAAATGCTTCCAGAATAGGCAAATCTATAGAGATAGAAAATAAATTAGTGGTTGCCTGAAGAGTTGAGTACAAATAAGGAGTGCAAGGTTTCTTGTTAGGGTGGTGAAATGTTCTAAAATTGATTATGGTAATAGATGCAAAACTCTGAATATACCAAAAACCCTTGAATTGTACACTTTAAATGGGTGAATTGTATAATATGTGAATCACATCTCAATAAAACTGTTATTTTTAAAAAGTACATGTTTCTGCGCAGCTGGTATGGCTCAGTGGTTGAGCGTAGACTCACGCACCAAGAGGCCACCAGTTTGATTCCCAGTCACATGCCCTAGTTGTGGGCCCAATCCCCGGGGGGCAGGCATGCAGGAGGTGGTCAATCAATGTTCTCTCTCATGGATGTTTCTCTCTCTCTCTCTAAAAAAAAAAACACATTTTTTTTTTTAAATCCTCACCCAAGGATATTTATACATTTATCTTCAGACAGAGTGGGAGGGAGAGAGAGAAACTTCAATGTGAGAGACACATGGATTGGTTGCCACCTGCACGACCCCAAAAGGAGCTGGGGAGGAACCACAACCCAGGTACATGCCCTTGGCCAGAACTGAACCAGGACTCTTTGGTCTATGGGCTGACGCTCTAACCGCTGAGCAAAACCGGCCAGGACAAATAAAAAATATTTTTTAAAAATATTATAGCCCAGCCAGTGTGGCTCTGTCCAGTGGCTGAGGATCGACCCATGCACCAAGAGGTCACCGATTCAATTCCCAGTCAGGGCACATGCCCAGGTTGTGGGCCAAATCCCCAATAACAGACATGCAGGAGGCAGCCAATCGATTATCTCTCTCATCGATGTTTCACTCTCTCGCTCCCTCTCCCTTCCTCTCACTCTAAAATCCATAACGGAGAAAAAAAATATTAAAAAATATATATGTATTGTAAACGTGTCAGAGTAAAAATGTCCTATTGGCCAAGAAACACCACTGCACAAGTGTCCAAAAACATATTTTAATTCAGAAATACTTGGAGAGAAGAAAATTTAACTTCAAAAAAATTTAAGACTTAAACGATGAGATGAGATTACTTATCAAAACCTGATCACTTATCATCCAATTCAGAAGAAATACCTCCACAAGTGCCAATGAACACTGGAACGCAAATACTGTATACCGTTTTCTAAGACCTTAACATCAGTATCTACTTCTGACACATTTTTTTACTCCTTTAAAAAAGAAGCTGTGCCACCTTTGCTCTTCTCTACAAGAAAATGGAAATAACTGCATTCTCGGGTTAATTCACTACCTCCCAAGTCTCCCTTCCTAGTTCTGAGATCCATTCTAAAAACGCTCTTTATCCCTATACGTTCATCACTCAATGTCAGATTCATAAATGGGAATGGGGCGGGTTAGAGAATAACAAGGAGAGTACAAGAACCACCCCAAAAATTATCTAGGTTGTTTCAGCATCAAGCCCTTACCACATGAAATGTCAATGTCCAGAAAACTGTCTTATTAGTCTCCTCGGCTTTTTGTATATCAAACTCACCAAGTGAAACACCCAGAAATAAACTAAGATGTTCCCCAAATCACTGGTGGCACCACCACCTCTTCTCTTCAGGCACTTAAGCTGAGGAAGTAGCCTGATGAGGCCACTGAACAGCCTCATCCAGCAGCAGCCCAATCCAGTTCAGCCAAGCCACTCCTGCAGAAGCACAACTGCGGCGACCTTCCGCCTTCTTCTCCGCAGGAAGCTCCGAGTCCGAAGCAGCAGAGTCTCCGCCAGAGAGCTTGGGGTGCAGCAGCCGGCACCTCCCCTCGATAATCTAAAGCGGCAAGGCAATCCCGTTCCCCCCTCCCCCACGCCCCAGAGCTGCGCGTGGCGTTCCAAGGCTGATTCCATGCCACAGGAAGTCCCCAGACACACTGCGGCAGACGGGAGCGGGCATGAAGGGGGAGGAGTCTACACGTGCCCAAACCCACAGTCACAGTAACGCAACCGAGGGGCGCAAGCCCAGCCCCCCCGCACCCCCTGTCCTCCAACCGCGGCCTCGGAATGTCTCAAGACCCACGGCTCGGAGCGCAGGCAGCTGCCAAATGACACTTGAGAGAGTGAGCACCGAATCACATGACAGTCCAGGCCACACGCACTTTCTCCCACATGCACAGCCCACACCCCCTGCTCCCAGCCGCGGACCCTCGGAGTCAATCCCGGGCCGCGGAACGGGGCGGGGCGGGGGGAGGGGCGGGAGGGAACTGGCAGTTGCTGCCTAGGTGGGGGAAGCGGTGACGGTTGGGAGCAGGCCGGGTTCGGCCGGGCGGGCGGTTGGGTGTTTACCTTGATGCACCGCGACGCTGCAGCCGTGCCCGTCGCAATAAACCAGCGGGTTCTCGGCCCAGCCTCTCTCGTCTGAGCAAACGCAACAGCCTCCAATCATCTCCTTCATACTATGGGAGACCTCGTCCTCCAGTGACACGGGCCGGTCGCTAGAGACCATCTAAGAGGGAGTTGGGGGGACCATTAAAAAACACTTACAAGCCAGTTAATGCTTCCCCCCCGCTCAGCCAGCCACCCGCGCTCCCGCTCCCTCCCGGCGCCCCGCCCGCCGCTCGCTCACTCGGGCTTTGCCGCTCAGTCACTCACGTTCCGCACAGGAGTCAGGAGCCATGTCCTTGCTGACTCCCCCCACCTCCCCTCCACCGCCTCCTCCGCCTCCTCCGCCTCCTCCTCCTCGTCTTCTTCCCTCCCCACCTCCACCCGGCGGCTAACGCTGGAGCCCGGAGAGGGCACACATAATCAAGTAGGCCTCCGCACAGGCGCACTGGGGGGCTCCCGCTGGGCCAGGGGCGGCGAGGGAGGGGAACCGGGACTGTGCTTCCTCCTCCGAGCGTCACTCGGCGTGCGCGCCCGCCCCGCGGCCGGCGTGAGGGAGAAGGCCCGGGAGAGGCGAGGCCTGCGTGCGCGTCGCCGCGTACGGCCGGCAGCGCCTACCTCCCGGCGCCTTCCCCTCCTGGGCGCCGCTCGCTGCCGCCGAGGTGTGCTGGAGGTTAGGGGCGGCTGGAGCCGGAGGCGCGCCGAGGCCAGAACGAGCCAACGCGAGGGCGCGGGGGCGCGCACGCGGGGGCGGGGACGTTGGGGCTGTCTTCTGCAGCGCGGGTCTCGAGGGCAGCGTGTGCACGCCTTGAAGAGGCCTCAGGGGGAGGGGAGGAGGATGCTGAGAGCTGGGAGGGAGGGCGTCTTGTCAGGGTAGCCTGAGGGGATTCCCTGGGGCATCTCCGTGCACTGAGGTTCTACCTGCCGGCCTTTTTCTCCAGAACTGGCCTTTGACTAGCTAATCTTGAGCAAGTATGCCAGCTTCCAATGAAGGGTGCAGTGAAGCCTGGCTTCCTGTAGTTGGCCGTACTAATTTCACTGTACTGCCGCAGCCTCTCCACCCATTAAATCCCCATCCTGGACTCGACCCAAAGTTCAGCCAGTGGAAGTGCCACCAGATCTGCCGCCCATTTACATACCACATTGGCCCCAGTGACAAATGGAAGTGCATTACAGACTAAAGGTCAAAAGCCTAGTTAGGGTTATATTCGGAGAGGGAACACCAAGGCACCCTCAGCTTGCTGTGTACGAGTACAAATACTTGTTAATCAGGAATTATCAATATAGTTTGATGATCTGGAAAAATGCAGTTAGTTATATGATACTAAAAGATTAAGGAACCCAAGTTCTAGTCAGTCACCAAGTGATAATTAACACCATGAAACTGGAGTCCAATTTTGATTGAGTATTTCTGTGATCTGGCTCTGTAGTCCAAATTTAACTATTGAAAATTTAAGATCACTTCTTTTTATTATTATTATTATTTTAAGTTCGTTTAAGTGGTAGAAAGATGGGGGCTCACCACTTATATACAAATAGAAAATGGATTAGGCCTGTCTGAATAGATTAATTAGCTGGATACTGAGCAGTTTCCAGCTGTAAAATCTTGCACTGTTGCCCTAGTCCCTATGTATCTTTGGAAGCCCAATATTGATTTTTAGGCAAAGATGTCTAATTGTAAAAGTTTAACATGAAATAGGGATGTAGATACTTTGTTTAAATGACAAGCATAAACCAGGTAAATTCATGGCTTTAGTTAGTACCTTGCAGATACAAAATGATTGTTTATCAGGAATTAGCTATATAAAGTAAAGATCTGGAAAAGGCAGTTACACAATGCTAAAGGATGAAGGAAATCAAGTTCTCCTGGACAGCCACCAAAAAATAATGGTTTAAGCTTTAAAAGCATTCCAAATGTTCTCATGAAGAAAAAAAATGGTAGCATGATTTAAAATTAATTGCTAGAAATCTATTTAAGAATAATAGATATAATGCCATGTAAGCATATATTATCAAATTCATTCAAAATTCTAAAACCAAGTGAGGAACTTACAGTAATTAAAATCTAAAAGTTTAAGATAAGGAAAATATGTACACTAAAGAGACATGAAAAAAATGAGAATTCAATTTTAGCTCTAATAGTGCAGTTAGAAAATGTGACTACAAGATTACATACTTATGAAATGCAAATTCTTTTGGGGCCCATGGCAACAATTAATAAATATCTGAACATATAATAATTATGTTCTTAAAATGTCATTGATATTTATAAAACTAAAACTGCCTTCAAACAAAACTATTGTGATACGTATCTTAACTGTGCATTTTATCTTTACCCTTTTACAAGGGATTACCAGTTTTACATCCAATTCCTGCTCAGGTTCTGACTCCTAATGAAGAGTAACTCTGAGTTAAAATCAATGTGAAACTTCCCTTCTCAAACACTGCAGTCAAATCTTAATGCACTAAATTATTTAAATATTTATTAATTCTAATTTTGGTGCATTAGAGCTTAGTTCTTGTGATAGAATTAATTTATATGTAAAGAAGAATAGGTACTTTACCCTATTCTGTAACACATAATAAAAGAAATGTAGGTAAACACTTGCTATTTCCAAATCAAAACAAAATCATCTGTAAGAGTTTGAAATTTAGAAAAAGAGAGAAAATACACTATTTCATAGGAACAGGCCTATATATAAATAATAGCATCTGATGTAGAAATTTTATCAAAGATGTGCAAATAAATGTTGACAAAATAAGCCAAATTACTTAAAACTGACATTTAACATATTAAATGTTGAGTTATAAAAAATAAAAATTATACTGGGTATAAATGGGGTTATTCTAATTTTAATTCATGTACCAGATATAGACCTTTTCTCATGTTATATATCAGAAGTGTAATAATATAGTTCTATAAAATATTTAGTGAAAAGAAAGAAAAACAAATATTATAAAATAGTTCAGATATACAGTTAATTATATATTTATTCAATAAACATTTATTGAACATTTACTGTGAACCAGAGACTCTTTTGGATACAGGAAATAGAGCAGTGAGCGTTATATTTATCCTTTGTGTGATATACATGCACATACATATATTATGACAAGTGGCTAAGTATGTTAATTCTCATACCTCAGAATGGATTTAAAATTTTATAATTAAATTGCCACAATTGTTGAAGTTTAAGTAAGTTTTTTAAAATACCTGGTATTTTTTTTAAATAGTCCATGGGATTTATATAATAACTTCGTAGAAAAGGACAGTTTCCATCTTAAACTAATGTTACCCTTTAAATCTGATTCTACATCTTCAAAATATATTTTGAAAAAGTGTATCTAATACCTGTAGAATAAAACAAAAGCCTGTTGTCTCCAATATTCTTCAAGTAACAGCAGCTAACTCAGTACTGGACTGAATCATCTATTTCTCTACTTATATGAAGTAAACCACAAAAAAACTCAAAGTATTTTATGATGTAAACCTCTAACCCTACTATAATGGGAAACTATATCCCCCCCCCCAAGGGTATATATCTTATAATTTTTATATATAAACCTATGCACCAAATTTTTGGATTTGCTTTTCCTTAATTTCTTACATAAATTAGATACTATGAAATATTTAACCCAAATTTGGCTCAGAAGTTAGTATTGCTTATATTTATTTTTTAAATTAAAGTTTTACTTGCCTTCTGTTTGTGCATATTATATTTAGTATATATATCCATTGAGGTATATTTCTATAATGTTAAGATTAGATGAATTTTCCTTAACTCAGGTTCTTGACTTACACAACATGTTTAAAATTCCATATTGGCTCTGATACTAAGGTTTTAAATAAATAAATAGCAATTATTAGAATTCATTCATCTACTAAACCTCATCAGAAATTATCTTATTTCTAAATAAATTAGATGAAAAATGCAAAAAGGCAATTTTTTATCTGTACAAACTTTCAGATATGTCCTCTTTCACATAAAGAAATCTCTGAATAAAATTTTGTTTTGCTTATTGGGTACCCAAAGTTTCTTACTTTTTATGTGAAAAGTTTATTATCAGCCATATATTTATACTTGTATGACTAAAATATTGAGGTATTTCTTCAACTACTTTTGTTATTTGTCTCACCATACGTGAATACTGTGTCTTTAAGGATACAAACCTACACATGACACCTATATTATGGAGTATTAATAGAAATTTCATTAAAAGGTATTCATTTCCATTGTTTTCAATTGCTATTTTGTTGATGGCTTTTGGGAAATTCCATTCAATAAAGATGTGTTCATCTTACTAGGTCATATCTTTACTCACCATACCACCTAGCAAGTATCTTACACACAGTAGGCCCATAACAAATATTCATTGATGTACAATACTGGTGTTTAAAAGCTTATTGAAGATTGAGCTTTATTCTTCAAAGTAAAGCAAGACTTTATTTTATATGTAAAACTGAACAAAATTTTCTAAGTAATGATTAACAGAAATTTTCAGATAAATAGGTTTCTTTAAATATTTTCAGTAGTTGAAATTAATATAGGTGAAGTTTTTATTTACCAGGTTGTTTAGAACTGTCTGTATTTAAATGGCCCTCAAATGCTACCCACCTTTTCATGTAAATGTCATTATTGTCTTAAAAACAAACTCTAACTTAGAATAAATCATGACTAATACTATTATCATATACCCTTAATTGTTGAAAAGTTTAGTTAGGTAATTTTGAAATTTAAATTGTGTGTACTCTAAATTTTAAAACTTTTTAAGACTCATAGCCTAATTTTAGTTTAAAGGATTTGGTTTGGTTAGTCTTGTGTTTGGCTTCAGAGCTACTCCGTTGCTATAAAATTGATATATATTGACTTTGTTGACATTTTTGGGCAAAACATCATGTAATTACCAGCAGAAAAATATTATCTAAAAGATGCCTTTAGATGGTCTAAGCATTATATAAAACTCAATAACATTTCAGAGTTGGACTATTGTTTTTTTTTCATGATGCAACAATACACTTGTATTTATAATGTAAGAGTAGAGTGTAAGCTCCAAGTTCCTTTTCTTTTTTTTTTTACTGACACTGAAGTCATTCCTGTTATGATTAAAGTGACATATGTGGGTATCTGTTTATAGGATACAATAAGGTTATCTAAGTGAAAAGATTCTGGACACAGAAAAGAGGAAAATCAGATTTGAAATGAAAGAGAACCTTGAAAGTAAATGAAACATATCTTGCACCAAAAAAAAAAAGGAAAGAAAAGAAAAAGGAGGAGGAAGAGGAGAAAGGAAGGAGGAGGAGGAGGAGGAACAGGAGGAGGAGGAGGGTGGGGGGAGGAGAAACTATTAAACTAAATTGCTAAATACTATTTGGACCAAAAAAAAAAAAAAAATCACTTTTTAAGATTTAAATGTTTTCCCCTCTGAAAGGGGCCACTGCTTACCAAATCCAGAAACAAGCCCAAGAATATGTTAATTAACTGCATTGTGTCCCAGAAAGAATGAGGTTGACAAATTCATTTTGTATTCCTTCAATTAATAAACAGTTTGCCTAGTACATCCTAGATTTTTTAAAACTATAATGTGTATATTTACCTCTT